TTTTCTCAATGTCAAAGTCGAAACTTAAAATTAAAATAATCAAAGAACATTTGAAATTCTAAAATAAATGTCGTATCGTTAGTTCGTGAATGTGTTTATTTTATACACACGCATGTATAAAATTAATTTAAATTAAATTGAATTTCAACGCGAACAACATTCATTTCATGTAACACATTTTACGTTTTACATTACGAAAAAATTAAGCATGGAAAAGTACTGACGAATTGGAATAATATTGGATGAGTTATTCATTCTTAACTAATTTCGAACAAATTTTGAATCTTTAATTAATTAATTTAAGATATATTATTACGAAGAAATGATATTTCGTAAGAAAATTCTTGAACAATGTGACAAAACTGTGAGATAATATACGTGGAACTAAAAAAAAAAAAATGTTCGCGTAAGAACAACGGTTAAATGATTGAAAAAAAAAATTAAATAAAATTAAACAAAAAAACAATATTTATATTAATATAAAACAATAATAGGAGAGGGCAAATTAATATATACAATTTTAGGGTATCCATCTTAGTGACAAAAAAGAAAATGGATTCTCCTCTATGAAAATGAATTTTTTTTACAATTTAACGATTTAAAACTATTTTTCTTTTCTTTTCTTTTTTTTTTCTTTTTTTTTTTGTCTCAAATTAAAAATTCTCAAAATAATTTCAATAATGAGAATAGAATTTTCTCGATGAATTACTCATAATCGCATTTATGAATAATTTGTCAAATTTTTCAGGTTAGATAAAATTCACAAGTAGCGATTAAGGTTAACCTTGTCGAGACAAAAAACAAAAAAAAAAAATAATAAAATTCGTTTTTTACAATCGGCTAGTCAATTGTACGTAATACTCGTTTAATTGCTTGACAGTAAAAAAAAAAAAAAAAAAAAAGGAAGTAATAAAAGCATAGATAAGTTAGAAATGGATCGAAATTATTATAGATAAAATAATAACTATGATTATATATATTTTTCGAAAAAAAATTTTTTTAGAACCATACGTTATATCAGTAAATAGACCGTTTAGTTTGTCGTAATATTTCTTTCGAATAAGAAAAAAAATCGAGAACGAAAAGAGCAAAAAAATCTTCATTACGAGAATAAAATTTACGTTTTAGTGTATGTATTATTTTTTTTCTTTTTATTTGCCAATTCACGTGTTCCGAATTATTTATTCGTCAACATAATTTTATTCATAATTATTTAATATTACCAAAATGGTTGTATTTTTAAACAATCAACTACATACAATTTTTGTCTTTTGTTTTTTCGGTAGGATCACCCCCATTCATGTGATTAACCATACCTACTGTTGCTATAATGACAAAGTTACCAAAAGTATTAAATTTAAATATATATATACAACGTAAAGATGTGAAAAACGTGTACTTCATTCAACGATACAAAAATTATAACATTGATTTTTTAACCGTTCTTTTAAACAATTAAACTTCTGCATTGCAATAGTGCAACTTTGTCTTAAAAAGTGTTTTTTAACACTAGATATACCAGCCACTTAGCTATACCTATTTCTACCAAACCAATCAAAATGACTGGTGTATAATAAAACATGTTTATTGTTGTTTTCAGTCTTTATTCACTCTTAAAAAATGACTAAAATAGTTGAACAATATTAGTTGTAATAGATAAATGGATTTATAGACATTATCAAATAACAAAATACTTATTTTTTTACAGTTTGTCGCTCACAACTTGTACATATGTAGATTTTGCTGTGTGTACACTTTCGGCATAGATTTTTTTTGCATTTATTGCAAATATTTGTAGTTTTATTGTTATTGCAATATCCTATTTGACACCATTTGCGTACAGAAGCCGTGGCATTTGTAATTGGTATGTCAGCTTCGTCTGGTTTTTGTCTTAAAGTCTGATATTCTGAAGCAAGTTCTTCTGCTAATCGATACAGAAAATATTTACGTAAGATATTTTCTCCTGTTGTGTTTTTCTACAATAATCCAGCTATTTATTCCGGCTAAATCTAAAATATTGAAAAACACTCGAAGTGGCCACCTTCTAGAACCTGATTTCACCGTATATTTTCGTGCCATTTGATCTGTGACATCGACGCCAAATTTAGTATTATTATAAAACGATACAGTTTCGGGTAATTTTTTGGCAGCTTTTTCAACTTTGATGTGTTTATGTTTTGTACTTAGTATAAGTACTTTTTTATTCAGCTTGCTCTTATAAACAGTAAGTGTGYATCCATTGGATTGGTACAACAACGTTGAGAAACGTGCCATGCTGTCTTTTTTCAGTTTGCAAGTATTCGGCAGTTCTCTATTGTTTGCACGTATTGTTCCAAACAATGAAGTATTTTTAGATCTTAATTTTAACGCCAAAGGAATACTTGTACAAAAATTATCTGTTGTTACAGTTCTACCCTTCATTGTATACGATTCAAGAAGTTTCATTACGACAAATTCGCTTAGAGGGGTTGATGCATTTCGAGTCTCCTCTTTTCCTAAATAGGGAAACCCACTTACCACATATTTCGTCTCTACATCAGACGCCAAGCAAAATTTTATGCCAAATTGATGGGATTTGTTTGGCATATATTGAATAAATCTGCATCTGTCCTTCGATGGAAAAAGTTGCTCATCCACGGTAATATAAGCTCCCGGTTTGAAGCAATTTTGACTATTTTCAATAAATTCATCCCAAACTTCTGAGATTAAAGCGAACTTGTCTGTTTGCAAACGTTGACTCCTCTGATTTCTTTTGTCGAAACGAATGTATCGTAGAATCTCAGTAAAATCACGTCTACTCATAGTGCTGGAGAAAAATGATGGTCCCCACTTGTTGTTCCACAAATATTAAAGCCTCAAAGTATTTCCTTCGTACGCCCCACGTGCGTACAATATTGCAAGAAATGCTTTCAATTTTATTTGCATAATAGTCCAGTTTTTCCCTAAAACTCAAGAGGCTTCTAACTCTGTACAAATTCGTATATGTACCAAAATATCCTTGTCAATCAGTAATTGGAACGCACTACTTAGATCCCCGTTCATAATGTTTCTTTTAGAATGTGCTGTTGGCCCGTGTACATCTTTGAAAGCACAATGAACTGATAATCTACCAGCAACACCTCGTTCTACAATTTTCGTCCAAATAGTTCCGTCTGAAGCAATTTCAGTTTACTAATTTGGTACGTTACTTCCACCTTTGTCATTATTTTTTATCAGCATATATATAAAAAAAAAAAAAGAAATTCGTAAAATGTATTCTCTACTTATAGCTAAAAAAGTCATAACATCAATTCGGAAATAAAATGTTATATGTAGTAGAGGAATTTTGAATTGAAATTGTACGACCAGTCAAAATGATTGGTCTGGTAAATCTAGTGTTAATATCATTGTAAACAAAAGATATATTTAGTTGATACAATTTAGATGACTAATCCTGTTCAACTTCGTTATATACAGGGTGTACGCGGATATTTTATGTTTTACGTTGAAACAATAAGAAAATAATGATTTATATACAAACATATATATATATATAGGTTATGTTTAAAAGTTTTATAAATTATGTAATTATCTGATACAAATAAGGGTAAAGGTATATATATTAAAATCAAAATGATATATTTGATTACCAATATATGATTAATAATAATTATTAATTGAAAACCGAAAAACCAGAAAAAAAAAGTGCATCATAAATTTAACATTATCGGTATAACGTGTCACCGAACAAATGTTCATAATGTTTAACAAAACAGAATGAATG